GTACGTAGGTAGTAGTAGTAGTAGTAGTAGTAGTAGAGTAGAGTAGTAGTAGTAGTAGTAGAGAGAGAGAGAGNGTGTGCGCGTGTGTGTGTGGTGGCGGGGGGGGGGGGTGGGTGTATGCAAGGAGTAGTGAAAAACGAATGCCACTTGAAATCAAAACAATCAGGAGGTAGTTTTCAAAATCAAGAATTTCAGGGGGGAGGAATATGATATTTTCCCTTGACTTTACTTGAGACATGATTGATCAGACGATAACATACTGATTTTCTCTTAACCAACATTTGTACAATATAGAGGCATCCTTTTCAATTTGGTAATTCTAGAGGATACCAAATTACTTCTTGGCCCTTCAGAGCAGTCATAATTGGCTTGGTCACTCTAGAGGATTGCTAATTGGTTTAGTGTGTGCTAAAGACGTTCCAATAAGGACGGGAAAGGAACAAAAATCCAAAGTATTTTAGATTGCTTCAAAAGTTTATGGCTGTCACTGTGGTTTGTCAAGTGTATTACATGTGCACCTAAGAGAACATGAGAAGTATTATATGCCTGTAGAGGAGGCAGTTGCTTCATTTTAAGGAACACCGGTTAAATTGCTACGTGTACAGTTTTGTTCGATACAAATGTAACTTAGACTCTAGCACTATAGGGTTTCTGATATGTTTAAACACACCATGGTCACAACAAACTCGTCTGACACTTTAGAAATTTAAGCACTTCTACTGAACTTTTTTTAATGAAATGCCCATATGAAAGTACTAATCTCATTTAACATCCACCTCCCTCTTCATTTAAATGATACACAAAATTATCATGTCTGAAAGGCCAACCTTGGGGTTGGCATTTTCAGACACTCATATCCACATAAGAGGTTAGCATTTGTATCAGTGTTTTTTAAACATTGCTATGTGCCCTTCTATGAGTGGCAAAACAATAAATGATAGAATTCGGAATGAATATATCTGAAGGAACTTATGAGTAGCTCCAATACGCAATAAGATGAGGAAAGTAGACTTAGATGGTTTGGCCATGTGCAACATCAACCTAGAACAGCATCGGTTGGAGGGGCAATTTGGTTTAAGTGAAAGGCTCAAAAATGACAAAAGGAAGGCCTAAAACGGCATGGATGGAAGTAGTGAAAAGAGATGTGGTGACTTATGGTCAAATTGAGGATATGGGCCCTGATAGAGCAGAATGGCGTGAAACTGGATTTATGTAGCGACCCTAAATAATTGGGACAAGGTTCAGATGATGATGATGATGATGATGTTAGTGCCTTTGTTGTAACTAATTATTCTAGAGTAAACTCAATTTCAATGCTTGTGTGGATATTGTTGGATGGGCTCACAAGGTTTTTCTAGCTTTATTAATAGTTGAAGCTAAGAGAACACAATAACTTTTTTGCGCTGATAAGGTAAGCATTCTACAATTTCAAAGTATTGTAGATGACAAACAAGAGAACTCAAAATTCTTTTTTTTTTTTGAGAGAAGGTAACTTTTAACAAGAGAACTCAAAATTCTTTTGCACATTTTGCCACAAAATTTTGAGAATCATGTTAAGATCCAGCATCCACATGAGGGGTGAATTTAGATGGGGGAGAGGTACAAGAGAAAATGGATACACAAGATTGGGAGAAGCTTGGCTTCCTTAAAGTTCCATGACCTCTATTATCAAGAAAAACCCCAATTACAAAGAATGCCCATTTCCTTGAAATGATGCAAAACTTTTTCTAAGGACTGGCCTAACCAACATAACAGAAAGTGTGTCTAAGGACTGTATGGGTCACACGCCAGCCAATTTGGGGATCAGGGAACCACCAAGGACCGTGTTGGAGAAGATGACTAATCCATAAAGGGATTAAGCTTCGCCACACCAGCAAAGGTATTTGTTGAAAATATATATGATGGCTCATTCACTTGTACAAGTGAATGAAGCACATTATGCTTTATCACTGACACTAAGAAAAGCCATTTCATAAACAGGTCCGTGAAGCCACCATCCAAAAGCAAATGGGAAATCAGATGCTTTGAAGGACACAGGTCTTGAAGGTTTGGGAAGATGGGATATAGTTCCAAACGTTCAGGAAACAAAATGCATATTGTATGCGCATATTATAGTTGCCCTAACGCAGTTATTTCATACCACATCAAAAGAAAAACGACTGGAATGAAACACTTCTTTCAGTGGGTTACCCATCAGTACTCATCTTAGCAAAATTAATATTTTGAAAGGAACATAATTTTTCAGGAGATAAAAGAGAGGAAATCATCAACATTTACAACAATTTGCTCAATTTTCAACTTAACAACCTCCATGCTCAGAATCAACAGCAATTTGGAAAAACCCCATTCGAGAAGTTCTCCAGCAGGGAAGAGTCCAACATTCTCATAAGGACACCAACTCCAATACACTATTCGAACTCAAATTATGCAAGCAAGTCGCAACCTTCTCCAAGTTGCAACAAAAACAAGAACAAAACAAAGGAGACGAAGAAGGCAAGTAACGTACGTTTAACAAGATTCCGGTACTCCATCTCCTGTGTTCGGAGACGCATGAAAGAAGAAGAAGTATCAATGGAATGAGTAGCATGGTCATCTTCTTCTTCTTCAACTTCTTCAGAATCAGAGGCAGTCCACTCACCATCATAATCAGGCTCCTCCCACTCCCCTTCTGATGATTCAATTGGATCGTCATATCTTCCTCTTCTGGCCATTGCTGATACTCGACAGCTGGAAGAGCCGCAGCAGAGAGGAGGACGAGGGATTTTGAGAAAAGTAGAAGGAAGAGGCAATGGGGGAAAACAGAAGGGAGATGGTGGCAGGGCTTGGATATGGAAAGGGAGGGAGGGTGCGCGCCCTGCGACGAACCACATCATTCTCCAATTACTTCCATCGCCAACAGCTCAACGATCATGCCATTTTGATACTTTTGCTCCACTTTTCAAATCCGAATATGCTACAATTGTAATATTTTTATGGGAATGTGTAATATGAGACTACTTGTTTCTTTTATGAATAATAAATAGGATACCACTCATTTTATGTACAAAGCGGTCACACTCATTTTTATCTATGTTGGGCATAAAATGTAATAATCACCCAATTTCAAATCCAGTGATGGGGACTTTGTGTTTCAAAAGTAATGATCTCATTGTATATATTTCCTATTTTTATTTAGAACAGAGATTGTGACTTTCCAGCTCAAAAATAAATGATCTCATTGTATATATTTTCTATTTTTATTTAGAAGAGAGAGAGAGGAGGGGGAGTGAGGGGGGGGGGGGAATGGGGAATGTTACGATATTTGGCTTGGTAATGTTAAAAATTATCCCCATTTCAAACTTTTTTTTTGTCATTCAAGTTATTTCAATTTTCATTACTTACCTAAAAAAAGGTTAGAAATTATGAAAGATCTTGTAGTTAAAAACCGTTTAAAATACAAATGTTAATGTTAGAATAGATTATGATTGTGTACTTATTAAAAAAATATTATTTTTATTAAAAATTACGTTAATAGTTAATTTAATTATAAGTAAAGACAATTTGAAAATTATTTATAAAAGTAAAATAATATTTTAAAAGCTAGTGTTATGGAATTTTATTTGTAAAGTGTTATTGTTCTTTAATAAAAATTTCAACTTTACACCTTATAAAAATGACAAAAAAATATTCTTTGTCATTTAGTGATATTTTTTCACATGAGTAAGGTATCACCAAAAATAGTTTTTTTTAAAAAAAAGACATTGCATATTTAATAAAAGAAAAAATTTATAGAACCGAGGCTCTAAACAATCAAATTAGAGCCCTCATCAAATTTTTCGCTAAAGAAGTTGCTTTGATGTCTAAATATCATCAAATTGATCATCTTGCCATCAATATGCATGGATTTCAAGGTCTAGAAATAGTGCATCTTGTAACACATTTTTCGACCATCAATTTTCAAGATTTTCAAGTTTTCATAGAGTTTTCTATCTACACTATTTTTAAGCATTAAATTTTATAATTAAACATGAAAATATATTTTAAGGTTACATATTTCTCGACACTATTTGGAGGTGTGCTTTACTTTGATTGTTTCGAGCCTCGGCTTTATAACCCTTTTAATAAATCCATCATTCACAATTCGCTCAAATATTAACTCTTATAATTTGATGAGTTGTGAATAGCAGATTATCCCATTATCAAAATGCCATCTTTAAAAGTCAAGTTAATATTTCTGAATAGAAAAAAAAATATTTATTTAAAATTTGAAACAAAAACGGATATTTGGATCATTTTTGTTAAGGTGACTTAGGTAGTCAAGTTACCAAAAAAATTTCACTTATAAATAAAAATTTTGATGCAAATAGCGTTTCTATTTTTTTTATTTTATTATTTATTTAGAAGATTTAAGTTCTTTTGGTTTCTAGTTTTTTTAGGGGTATTTATGTCTCGTTTAGTGTAGAAAACTAAAGGATAAAACCGAAACTTTTTTTTAATGTGAATGGTTGTGATTTAGTTAAAGGATCTTAGTGAGAACTTACATTTTAGGACTATTTTCCTTTACAAATAAGTAATTCTTTGATCTAAAAAAATAATTAAAGATTATTTTGGGTCATGTAAAAATGTCGTTTTCGGGTAAATTTCTTGCAGATTTTAAAATGAGGGTATATTCTATCAATATTTATTTTTGTATTTTATTTCTCTGATTTGATTTATTTTTTGTCCCCTCCTTCCATGCGTCAAGTGGTAAGAAAGCCTCAAGATCCACACACCATGATACCATCCAATTATGAAACTTTTCAATTAATTGAATCAAATATTTGAGAGACTCAAATAAAATGAGGAAGAATAACATGAAACGGTAAAACTCATGTGAAAGAGGTAATAACAACCCAAAAATACCACAATTTTAACAATCATTTGTCAATAAGAAGATACACTAGTTAGAGTATGGGAAATACTATTGTTTCAGTTTGATTGAGAAATCAATAATTAAAATGGGTGTTCAAAAGTTCCACTAAAAGCAGGATATCAATTCGTCCTTTACCGCACCTGATGGAGACAACTCTCTCTTGTGCAAGAAAAGCCGACCAGCCGCAGTCCCGATCATAGTTTTTGCGCGAGGTCCATCAAAACTTCAAAGCTAAACACGATAGGGGTCTGCACCAAGGTGGTTGGTGAAATCAGCTCTGATGACCTTCTTCGCCTAAACCCCTTCTACCCTCTTCAGATGACGAAGCCTGAAGAGGAAGCACATGAGCTTTGCATTATGGTTAGCATTGTAGAAAATGACCCAGCCGCTCAGCAGCCACCGTCCCAAGACCGTCAAGAAACGGTCCTCACTCGATCAGCATACAAAACTCGAGTTCAGTCGAGGCATGCAGACCCCTTGCTGACCGATCTACCACGTGCAACTCGTCAAGTTCACAAGTTCTCAACTACAACTAAGGCTGACCTCCATGGAGAAACAGTTAGTGTAATGGTTATAAATGAACCTGACTCGCATGAAGACCGCATGAACAAATTCGAAGATATGGTGTGCATAATGATGGAGAAGATAGATCATATAGATGTCACACGACAATCAGCTAACCATGAGGTTAATTCCCATCACTCATATGGTGCACCTCCAAGGCAGCCCTTTCCTTCTGCCTCACATGACAATTTTGTCCCTCCCATCTCATAGGCAGACATCGATGCTATGGTTACCCATAGCTTACAGGACAGACAAATTCTGGGGATACATGGTGCAATGCCTTATCAAAGGCCGTACCCTTCATATATTGACCAAGTGTCGTTCCCTCAGATTACAAGAAAGGGAAGTTTCCCTTATTCAACAGAACCATGTCACCGAATCAGCATATCGCCCACTTCCAAGCAGCGTGTGGAGAGACAGCGGCTGATGGGAGACTCCTTCTCCGCCAGTTTGTTAAAACCCTTAATGGCCCAGCTTTTCAGTGGTATGCTCGACTTCCTCCAAACTCGGTGCATACTTGGGAGGAAATGGAAAAACTCTCCCACCAGCGCTTTTAGGAGGTTGAGAGAGAGGTTCAAACCATTGAGCTTCTCACCCTAACCCAAGACCCTGATGCGCCTGTAGACCAGTTCATATCAAGATGGAGAAATTTGGTTGTTCGTCATCCCAATCCTATGCCATAGAAGGAAGCATTTCAAACTTGTGTGTGGAACATGCAACCTGAAATCACTCTACATGTTGAGGCCTCCAATCCGACTTCCATGTCAGAGCTAATCTCTAAATAAGTCCGCATAGAAGGCCTATCACGCCACCACGGTGGGTCACGACTACCATCTGTAAGCTCGGGAAACAACCAGGGCAATGGTAGCTCGCGGACTAACCCCTGAGGCAACCAACAAAATGGAGTGATCAGTGCAGCTGTCATGGTCACTAATCCAAAAAAAGCTCCCTTCCAAACTTTGGACCTCTCCAAGGGCGTAAGCACAACAAAGACAACGCCTCAGGTGGGCAAACAACAACAGTCATACAACCGAGTACACCCCCACCTGCAAATCTTAATCGGGAAGATTATTGTACTAGACATAGGAACATGGTCTACCCCTTTGAGAAGGAATGGGTCCTTGTGCTATTCCGATTATTGCTGGAACATAACATGATCCAGCTTCTAAAGACCAAGTTCCCTGAGCAAGCTGGGCTCGATACTCAAGCGAATTACTGTGCTTGCCATCGAATGATCAATCACCCCACAGATGACTGCTGCACACTGAAAGACATTATTGAGGCTCTGATTCAAAAGGGTAAGCTTGAAGAACTAAAAGATGTATTCGGGGTAGCAGAAGCCTCCTATACAGTAACGGTTCAAGAGGAAGACGAAACGCCTGGTCTTCTTCATGCCTCTTTCATTATAATGCTTCAAGAAGGTCTTATCACACCGAAACCGGCAAGGCAGCCTCGACACCTTGCCCATGGAACTGAGGACCGTTGGTGCCCATACCACTAGATATGAGGGCATTATTTGTACAACTGTACCAGTTTCCATGATATAATTACAAAGAAAATACAGGAATGCCAAGAGTCTTACAACGTTCCAATAAGTGATCCCCAAGCTACTGCTCCACCGGTGTAAGAGGGCCTTCCAACATAAGAACTTCGTAATAATGATTCAAATCCGGTTGAACCCTCTACTTCCCAGCCATGGATAGTCCACCATAGGTGAAGTAGACTCATGTCTCCGAGGCAAGAAGCAGTTCGCCAAGCTAAGGATGTTTGCCAGCAGAGCAAGATGAATCAAGCACCACCATAGAAAATCAGAAGGAGACCAAGGGCTGCTCGTCGGAAAAACAAGACCGCTCAACCGCTAGTCGAGCAGGAGTTTCTTAGGCCCCTTCCCCCACTGCCAACTTTATTAGACTTTATCCCTGACATCATCTTCCTTCCTTCTCCATCTCATCAAGAGGATGTCCCTGAGCCATCTTCTCCTCAGAGCACGTCCAATGAGGATGACGACGTTAAAAGCACTCCCCAATGGTCTAAGCAGGTGAAAGACCTGAAAGATTTCCTGCACACGTCCAACCTTGGTGATGACAAAAAAAGTTTCCAAACTCGGTCCAATTAGGGGAACGACCTTAAAAGTCCCCCACCTTCGAACCCCTCTCCTTCTTCCTCTTCTGCTTCTCATCCTTCTTCCTCAATATCTCCTGTAGGTGCAACCTTGAAATGTTCAGATTTCGAGGCTCTTGACAGAGAATTCGAAGGAATCAACATAAGTAGGGTGCAACAGAAGCGGTTGAAAAAGACGCTAGCCCAAGTAGCTCGATTCTTAACAGTTGCTGATGCCTTGGCAGCTAAGGCCAAGGCAGAGCTATCTTCTGCAAAGAAGTACAAAACGTCGAAGCCAAAGAAACCTCAGTGGCTCCCTGAGCCCGACTTTGAGCAGAGACTAAAGGAATCAAGGGGGCAGAGCTTTTATTTTTAGGAGGCATGTCATATAGTGCAAATCTCAGGAGCATCACCTAACACCGAGTAAA